CCTCGCTCTTGATTGTTATTTATTATTTGTCTTTCTTTTTTGTCCTCATTTTCAAAAATGATTTCCATCCTAACAGTGGTTTGTTTTCTTTCTCTTTTTTTTTTTCCACTTCCACCCCTCCTTTCCTCCTACACCGCACAGCATTGCAGAGCTTTAGGCAACAATTGCTTCCTTTGTCTGTCGGCCACAGCTCTCTTCATCTGACTTAAACTCAGGCGAGCCTTTTAATTCCCTGTATGTGTGAGAACGAGCGAGGCAAATAGACGGTTAGCTCGCTTTTGCGCCCTAACGGTATGTCGAGCTGTGGCGCGCATCAAGGTTGAGACCATGAAAGAGAGCAGAGAAAAAGAAAGCTGAGCAGTACGGAACAAAAGAAGAATGAATGGAGGGTAGCACGAGACAAAGAAGACGGAATAGAGAGAGAAAAAAACTATAAGTGGCTTCTCAGAGTCACTTCTTTTTACAGTCAGTCGCTGATTGTTTATGGTGGTGATAAAAACAGCTCAGCTGACAAACATGCTCCACGTCATTAGGAACATTTAAATATTAATGCAGATTCAGATTCAATGCCTTTAAATGAAAGATGGACGTAGCTGCCAGGTGTAAAAAGTGAAGCCAAGGTGTTGTAAACATGCATTTTTTTCTAATGGCCAGCAGGGGGCGACGCCTCTGGTTGCAAAAAGAAGCCAATTATATAGAAGTCTATGAGAAAATGACTCAACTTCTCCTTTAATTTATTGCCTCAGTAAACATTTTCTCTCATGAGTTTAGGGTTTCTGTCGCTAGTGTGAAGTCTTCTTCGGTACAGCATGGTGTTTGTTTTGTAAACTATGGTCCCAGTTAGAATGAAATACATAAGAATGTAGAGTATGTTTAAGGGCTTGGGTGACTTTATCACGAACAAGTTGCTACCGTGTGAGATCCACTCCCTGCTCATCTCACCCAGTTTTAAAAGACAGATGGCATTAAAGTTTCAAACTCAAGCCCTGCATGCTTTTTTTAACTTGCATATTTACTAGTAAGTACAGTACAGGTAGTATGTACTGTTGTTTACTGCTTCATACTATTGCTCCTTATGCTTTGATTATTTTGCTGATACCTTCATTGCAGCCGTTGTATTGCAATCAACATTGTTCAGGATTGGGGGTCAGAAAAGCATGCTGGCTTGCATACTGCACAATGTGACTGAATATAGTCGGGCATCCTGGTGTTTTTTTGTACGGTGCATTTGGTTTGCTATCTATTGGGACTGTCTGAATATTTTTCTGGCATACGTAATAATGTTGTCGTATGGGTATTGTAAAAAAAACAATGAACCAATGTTGTGTGATGTCATGATAGCCAGGTTTTTTTCCACTTTAACCCTATTCAGGACTTTCATGTTACCAGACGTAGAAGGTCTTTTGGGGTCCACTGGATCCCAAGAAAGAATATGTGCAAAGTATTTGTTGGTATTCATTGTAGACTTTTATACTATGTTAAAAACATTTTCTGATAAGTTGATGTATTTTTGCTTCCAAATGCAGGATAAATGTCCCTCTTTTTATATTAAAAAAACAAAAATACTTCCCAAATAAAAAAAAAACAATACCTGTCACCTAAACCAAATGTCCTGGGGTCCATAAGACCCCAAAAGTCCCGAATAGGGTTAAAGAAACAGTCCAACGTTAGAGGAAGCAACAAGACTGACACAAATCTCACGTCGCAGACAATATGAAGCTATTATAGCAGACAATTAGCCTAGCTTAGCATAAAATGTGGGAGCAGGGAGAAGTAGGAGCAGAAATGAAGCAGACATTTGATGCTAAATTTCAGCACCTGACAGATTTTGTGCTACAAATAAATCCGACCCTAGTCTCCTCTGGTTCTTTAAGAGTTGCTCACAAAACCACATGTATGATCCAGGCTCCAACAATCTCTCACATCATGTACAGCTGTGATAGTTTAACAGGTAGAAGCGTTCCATTATGTGGGAATGTCCCACTAACAGATCGACATCACACGACACCCTGATACCCTGATACCCCGGCCCCTGCCCGTGATGTTGTTTTGGAAAAACCAGCACGTTGCCATGGCAGCCGAGGCCCCGGCTATTCCCAGCGCGATTGCAGTTTTCCACCTGCAGCAGGAAAAAGACCTGTTCCCCTCCCAAACACTGTTTCCATGTAAACATTTTACTGGAATGTGTGCGTGTTTCATTTCTGCGGCTTGGGGCAGAGTTTGGTTGTTTGCTTTTGCCAATAGCTCCGGGAGGAAATCAATGGGTTGACTGTTTGTTTTTTGTTTTTTTTTGGAGAATAAAATGAAGGAATACTCAAAGTGTGTGCGTGTATGTATGAATGTATATGCGTTTGTCTGCAGGCGTGGGTGCTTTCTGTCATATTTTTAGCTTTTCCGTTACCTCTGGGGGGGAATTGTTTGGGATACAAGAAAAGGAGTGGAAGGCGAGGCTGCTCACAGGTCATGTGGATGAAGAGGCCAGCTGTGGAGGCCACAGATACATGGAAATACGAGCGATCAGTTCACTAAAAGGAGAGGAAGATGAAAGCAGAGGCAGATAAGAGAGAGAGAGAGAAAAAACAAAGCTTGTGAGAGAGGCAGGCGGAGAGAAAGTGACTCAAGGCGGCGTTGGAAGCGGCGTCTGGGCCGAGATGAGGTCAGACATGGACAGACTGAAGCCTTGTGTTTGACGACCACAGGCCATAGTGACCCATTAACGGACTTGTAAAACCTCCGTCCCTCCCCCCAACTGGAAACAGCAGGTCACACACATGCTCTGAGGAAATCCATTATAGGTAATAATATGCTAAGATTGTTTTAAGACATTCCTCAGAGGACGCTGTTTACTCAAGAGTCGGCGCCGGGGTGATTAATTTCAATGTATTTCATCCACAATTCACATCATTATTATTCATGATTGTGGTTTTTGGGTGTGAGGCTGTGCTCCCCTTTTAACCAGGAGGTGGTAACCGCCTAAAATATTTGTTTGGATGCTCAATATGTTTGGCCTGAGGGGCTGTGTGTGGGTGCTAAAGGCATTTAACACACACACACACACATTCAGTGTTTCTAGTAACAGCATTTTTCCAACGTAAGGTATGATTTTTAAAAAGAAAATCCTACAGTTCTTAAAAAAAACAGCTGGAGGAATGATTTCTTTTAAACGTCAGCTTGAGATGTTATGCTTCCTAACATGAATACACAAAGGCGGGGTTAGAAAATATAAAAAGAAGGAAAACATGCCAGGATGGTACTCGTTTATTTCCCTCTTGGTGTTTTTCATTTCCACACCCTGTATTTTTAGACGAGCAATGAATCAGCAGCTGAAATGTGTTGCGTCTTTTTGCGAACGTCCTCTGAGCTATGTGAAGGGCTTTTTTTTTTTGCTGCGAACAAGCTTTAAAAGTCAGTAATTACAGTAAAGAGACAAGAGTCGGGATCAAAGGAGACGCAAGGAGGTGTTAAAATCACGAGAACGATGGAAGTTGTGAAGCACGAACACAAAAAAAAGGCAACATATTGGGCCGTGTTGCAGCCACGGCTCCTGCTTAAAGACTAAAAATGAATGAAAAGCGAGTGTTACGCTGCTAAGTTTGGTTTGACATTGTGGGAAGCTACTGTTTGCACCAAAGACACTCACACTCACATAGAGCCTCTGTGTTGTTGTGCACCTGGCAGGACGCCACCGGTCGAAGCAGGCGTAGTGGGCAGCACCCACCCACCAGCAGCAGTGAGTACGCGGAGCAAACGGTGGGTGGGCTGAAGGTCAGACGGGCCCCGGACACACTGGCATTGTTCTTTCTATCACTTTGTCTCCTCGCCGCCCACCCACCCCTCCACACCTCACTCCTCAGCCTGTGACTTTAACACCACGTCTGTGTGTTTTCACTAAATGCAATAAAACAGAGACTAAAGCTGCAAAAGAGGCACCGGAGAGCCTGATCAGATGTTGGCTGAATGTTGTTTCAAAGCGACACAACACTTATTATTGATGTGAGCCTGTGTGTGTGTGACTGTGGATGGTGCTGTAGCATGTTAATAGTCTGAGTCAGCACAGAGGAGGCCTGGCCGGCGCTCCGAGAAGCGTGGCTCTGTTGAATGTAGGAGTGGGAGGAGATGAGCAAAAGGTCCTCTGTGACATTCAGAGATGCATTATGTCTTCCCCTCAGCTGTTGCGCACCACGTTCCCCGAACCGCTGACTGTACCGTCTGGTCCTGGAAATACACTTTTAGCTCACCGAAACATGTTCAGTAGGTGCCTCAATGAATGGCATTGCCTCACCGAGTGTGACGCTGTGAAACAAGTCATTCTTAGTCAGATTGTAGTTTGTTTGCATGCCACTCGCTGACCTTCGTCTCTTGTTCTTTCTGTCTGTCCCACCTCTCCTTGTAAAGGGCAACGCTCATGATCATAGGCAAAAGCTCTTGGTGCTGGCAGAGCTGTTGTTTTCCCACAGAGAAAGCGATAGCGCCCACCGTAGAAGCGGGTCAGAGGGAGGTTGCTGAAAATTTCCCCGGAGATGCTGCACTCGGTGTTGAAATAATTTGAACCTTGAACCAGTTTTCCGTCTGCCTTTTCAAGTGTTTCTTCTCCGAGCTTTATGTTTTTCTGTGTGAATGCGTGAACAAAGATGCAGGGGAAATTCATTTTGTGTGCCCCAGTTTCCAGAACTGCTTTAATTAGTGTTGGAAATTAACTCTGCAAGACTTGGCAACCTTCTGAGAGCATGAAGCCAATCAGCAAATGTAGTACATGATCCTGCTCAGTGTGCAGGAGGTTTAGCTCTACCTGCCTGTGTCTGAATGGAGTGGCAATCAGAAGGCTTCAGTGTGAATTAGACGATTTGGAGTTCAAAAGATGTCTTGGTATTTACTTATTGCAGATGTATTTGTGTTACGTTGATTGATATGCACAGAAAAACTGGTCCGCTGCAAACCGTCTCATGAAGTTGAAAGAATGTGAAGATGCTAACCTCATGTTTGGTTTTCTCCCATGACAGACGGTCATTTCACGGGGACCCCTCCAACTTATGGGTATGATGCAGACCGAGCGGAGGAGCAGCGGAGGCACCACGACATCCTGCCGTACATCGACGACTCGCCGTCATCGTCTCCACACCTCAGCTCCAAGAGCCGCAGCAGCCGGGACACGCTGTCCTCTGGATCACTGGAGTCGTCCAAGTCGGTCAGTGTGCCATCATACCGTGTTATATTGTTGGTATTTGAGCTATTCGTCCATCCATGAATCCATTAGTTAGTCCCACTTTACCGTGTAGTGGCTAGCAGAGGGATGGAGCCTCTGTTGTTGGTATTAAATTGGCAAAGCAAATTTTGATCTTGGCGTCCGATTTATCTGACATATTTTTCTCAAGTGTTCTTCGTTTGGTAGATGTGCATAGAAATGCAATCTGCCAAATGATAAAAAGCTCTTGTTTTTATGTATTTAACCCAATCATAGTCGTCTTGGGTGGTGTTAAAGCCACGGATGCAGAAATTATGTCTCCTCAAAATAGTGACGGGGGGAATATTTCTCATGCAGGTAGATGAGCAGTGTCGTTTCAGTGGCTAATTCGTGAAAAGAACCACACAGGCCTGCCTTATTGACACATTCTGCAAAACTTGTGTCCCATTGCAAAGGGGATTTTGAAAACGGTCAGACATAGACGGCAGAAGAGGACATATTTGCATAAAATGCATGGCGGAAATGGGAGATTTATACCAAAAGTCAAGATCCACTAAGTCAGACTGTCCTTTGGGTGAAACAGCAACTGATCTGCAGACGGTAAAAACAAACCAAAGCTGCAATTTAGTTAATATGCAGAACTTAAAAACACAGTTGGACTCACTCTCTAGTTGCAAATTGTGACAATTCTTATATACTTTGACCTTATTGCATAACAAGATTGGGGCTAATCTAGTCTTACAGCAGACCTGCTCTGTCAAATAGCCATCAATTGAGAAATCACATCTGCTGTTTGAGAGGATTGATGAAGGACTATATCTCCTGCCTCATAACCCCAGAAGCAGTCATCCAGTAAAGAAACCCATCCACCTTAAAGAGTCTGGCTTTTTTCTCATCCAGGGTATTAGGCGGAATTACCCATCACCTCCTTCGCCACATCGCTGCCTTCATCCTCTTACCCTCCCTGTTCTCCTCTCTCTTGTCTGCGGAGAGAAAATCAGTGATCTGTGACGTCTGCTCTTCAAAGGTTATCATTCAGAGGATATATACATGAGCACGCACACGGCCCCAGAGTGAGCAAAGATAAAAATGAGCACCACAGCAGCAATCTGTCACGATATTTGTGTTGTTTTTTTTATAATTAATTTAATATTCGCTCTATGTTTTCTGCAGTATGTCACAAGATTCTTTGACAGATTATTGTTTGCACCGAAGCCTTTGTATGTACCGCTTGAACATGTTGTAGCCATAGGTTCAATTAAGACAGAGAGGCATCATGGGAGAATATAATAGGCTAATGCTGCCTCTATCCACTCTGCCCTTGGAGGAAGTAATTGCATCAGTGGCCATGAGGCTGTATCAGTTACTCTGCCCCCTCAGTCTTTGCTGACTGGTGAGTGAGCGTCTGTCAATGTGATTGATGGCTGGAATCTGCCAATAAATAACGTGTCCCTCGACTGCATCCAGCCTTTGACCCGTGAGCTTTAACTCTCGCTGATTTTAATTTGTACGCATGCACACACACACACACTCTGCTTGAGGATGCACAAACCAGCTCCTCCTCTCACAAGTGCATCTTTTCTTTCCTCTCACGGACAAAAGACACATTTGTTGTAGGAGAGATTGAAGGGGATTTCTTGGGCAAATGTTCATCCTTCCAGACAGAATCCCTGAGCAAACCTAATGCTGCGTGCCGAGGGGCTGGCAGAGGCATCGTGTGATGGTCAGGTAAATATATTATGCAGCACTGCAACAATTATCCATCAACAAATCCCCCGCGCTGCCAGACAGGCTTTCAATAACCGCCATCAAAATGGAGTTACCCTCGTCCTTGTCTTGCCCTTGCACAATCCCTCCTCAAACATCATCCCAGTCTGCTCCTCTAATTGATGAGTCAGAGCCCAGTCAAGCTCCGATTGGCTCAGTGGGAGCTGATGGTTTCATGATGTCACTGTGATGAGTCATCACCATCAGCAATAGTGCTGATTTAATTTTTTTCAGTGGCTCTAGTTCTCTCATAATCTGATTCTTTCCTGCACTGGAGAGAGAAAAGAAGGGGGGTCAGTGATCGGAAGTCAACTGACGTATGATTTTCTTCTTCTTCTGATATTCTGCTGTATTAGAAAAACAGATCCCACAGTTGGAAATCAATGCAACAAAGTCAGATTCAAGTCCTTCTTTTTCTCACCCCGACACTTCATACGTCCACCTTTCATTTCTTTGATGACAGACTCCTCCTCAGCACGGAGGATGCCACATTTCTGGAGAGGCGTTCTCCCTTTCTTCAGAGACAATTATTTTTTACGGCTGCTCTTTGCTGCAGGGGTTGAGTTTCTCTCTGAAATACCCCAAAGCTGTTCTGCTCTCATTCAGGTCAGGCGACATACTTGACCAGTTTAAACTTTGTTCTTCTGTAGAAGCTCCTGTGTGATTCTGGCAGCGCGCTTTGGTTCGTTATATTGCTGGAATACTCCTCTTCTGCCAAGACTCTGCTGAGAGCCATCTTCTCAGCCAGTATTTTGGTGTATCCACAGGTATTCATGGTGCCATCTGTAAATTTCATCTCTCCGACACCTTTTGCACTCGAGCAGCCCCGTGTCATTACACTCCCACCTCCGGGCTTCACTGTGCACTCGTAGTCCTGGCCAGGTTCACACCAAACATACTGAACGCCATCTGAGTCAAAAAATATATCTTGGTTTCATTTGATCAAAGATTATGCTCCCACTCTTCATCAGACTTCTTCTCTTGTAAAGTTTCATCTTGCAGGTTTTAGGCTGGAGCACACTGCTGGATTCACAGTCTTTTATTTTGCAAGCACGCAAATGTTTTAACCCCACTGTGTCTTCATGTTAAAATGG